GGATTGATTTATTGAATGATTGATTGAGTTGTTGATGATAAATTGAGTGTTTGTTCTGCAGAAGTTTCCAGTCTCAATGGAAAGGTGAGTGATCTGCTGGTGTCTCTGGTCTCTCTGCTTCTGATCCAAAGCCACTGCAGTTCTGATCCTGAATGTTCTTCCAGAGTCCAGATCTCATCACAGCCGGATCCACAGATGCCTTCTGGAGCTTTGATTCGTGTGCCACGTTACTCGGGCAACCTGCCCTTCAGAGTCTGGAAGAAGATGCGGGACATTGTCCAAAATAGTGAGTCTGGAGAAGATCTGTGCTCTTACACATACACTGTAAATGGGTGAAGATTTTACAGATTTAAAGATGTCTGATGTGTTTGATCAGTTGGACAAACGTAATAAAAGCAGCTGTCGATTGTGTCTCATCAGCTCCTGTGATTCTGGATCCAAACACTGCAAATCGAGATCTTGTCCTGTCTGATGATCTGAGCAGTGTGAGATACAGCTGGAAGAAACAACCTCTTCCTGATAATCCAGAGAGATTTGACTATTATTCTTGTGTTCTGGGTTCAGAGGGTTTTAACTCAGGAACACACTGCTGGGATGTGGAGATTAAAAAGAGCCAATGCTGGAATCTTGGAGTAACTACAGCATCAAACCAAAGGAAGGGACGTGATTTATTTAGCGCTGATGTCTGGTGTGTGTGGTATGGATTATATGAACCATCTGGTTTTCCTGTTGAACAGGATCTTGAGCAAGTGAGAGTGTATCTGGACTATGACGGAGGAACAGTGTCATTCTCTGATCCTGTAACTAACACACATCTACACACATTCACAACCACCTTCACTGACACTGTCTTGCCATTTTTCACAAAATGTCACACAATCCAAACCAGATTTCAGGGAATTACCTTTAACATTTAAGTCTGAACAGTTGTTTCTGGTTGTATTTGGTCATTATGACATTATGTTGACAGCTAGTTGGCCACCAAAGTCATACTGTTAATAGCTAGCATTAACACTAGTTAACTATAAAAAATGAGACTTCATAAGAAATAATATAATAACATAACGTTTACATGATTCTTATGAAGTCTGAGATTATAACTTAGTTTATATTATGAACTAATCTAAATTGCAAACAAGTCTTCCGTGCAATATAGACAGTATGAACTACTTTTGGAATGGATTACTTTTAAGATGGATGAATGGATGCACTTTTTTGGCCTTCAAAATTGTGAGTGCCATTCACTACCATTATAAAGCTTGGAAGAGCCAGGATATTTTTAGATATAGGTCAGATTATGTTTGTATGAAAGACACATATATGGTGGTTTGAGGGTGAGTAAATCATGGACATTTTGTGGGTGAACGATCCCTTTAAGGATTGCCTTATAATTAAGGGTCCAAGCTGTGATATTAATGTTGTCCACTAGAGTGATTTTAGATTAGGAGATAAGCAATATTTTAAGACCAATTCTATCTGTTTCCATCTATTTGTATAGAAATAAATGCATTTAGTAATTTGTATAAATATGGTGTACTGACAGAAAATCTGTGAAATGCTTACATATAATTAAATGCTTAACTTTTTTTCACACCAATAAAGTAATTTTTTCAAGTCGCCAGACACAAATAAATATAATGCTGTTCATTTAAAATAAAGAAAATTTTTGCCTTTTTTACTATAATATAAAATTTCTATAAGGACATGTATTGTTGTGCTATGTATAATAATAAAAAAAACACATTTGTGTGTTACGCTGCAAGCATAAGGTTAGAAATAAATAAAAACATGAAAAGGGCCTTAACATAAAGGCTTCAGATAAAAAAGGTTTTGAGCTGCAAATGATCTTGACATTAATTTTAAAGTGTCCTGTGACATCCTATGATGTGATTCAAGAGAAAAAGCTAAAGGCACAAGAAAAAAAGCTAAAAACACGGTGTTGAAGACAGAAAAAGCCATTTCCACCATTAAAAATTATGTGTACATTTCATGTACAATATTTATTACATTGCATTGTGAAATACACCTGTTATGCAATAATAAGTGCTTTCTTCGGTTACTCCTTTATGTAAGCATAGCTTTCCGCCATAAGTAGATGTCATCAGGTGGTTCCCAACCTTTCTTGAGTGTTTCGACCCTTACAACAACACTCTCCAGTTGGTGGGTCGGCAGTGGTGGCTAAGTCACTGCCCATCTGCTCATGGCTTCCAGCTTTCTTCCTCTCTCTTACTCCATATCCAGCATGAAGCTCAGCCTCATCTCCCATGCTACGAGCAAGTTTCTTGCTTTTTGATCAGAAAAGCCTCTACAACCTATTTCCACAGGAAACAGCCATGCCTGCCATCTTTTGTCTTTACACTCCTGAATTAAACGCTGATACTTTTAAGGAAGGCCTTCCTCTCGTGAGCCTCCTCGCAGCCCTCCTTCCATGGCACAGTCAGCTCAATTAAGATGATTTTCTGGTCTTTGGCTGATCACAAGACGATGTCTTGGTGAAGAGCTGTGTGAACCACTTCCGGGAACTGCAGCTTCCTTCCAACGTCGACTCTCATTTCCCAAGAGCCCGCGGCCTGCAGCAAGTTTGATTTTGCTAATGCCCTAATTGCGTTAGGGCAATTGCGTAATTGCGACAGTTTCCTTGCCTGTGCCGCCTAGCCTCTTCTTGCACCTCTCACGTGTGTATCGGCGACAGACAAGAGCACATTGTCGTGGCGCCACCTGTATCAACTTTGGGTTAAAGATGTTATGTGTGATGGGTCTGGCTCCCTCCTTGATGAAAGTGACAGTTTCCTTGCCTGTGCCGCCTAGCCTCTTCTTGCACCTCTCACGTGTGTATCGGAGACAGACAAGAGCACATTGTCGTGGCGCCACCTGTATCAACTTTGGGTTAAAGATGTTATGTGTGACAATATGTGTGCCAGTGTTCCCTTTTGACCACAAAGCTTGCAGTACGGGTCATCCCTCAACCCCCATGTGTGCAGATGTGATGGTGAAGGAAGGGTGTCATACACAGAGCGCAGTAGGAAGGAGATGTGGTAGGGCTCCAGTCTCCATAGCTCTGCCCATGCAATCTAATGCTTGGGCAGATCCCATTTTGTCCATGCTCTCTGGGATGCTTGTTCCACTGCTCTGGACATACGCCTCTGCTCCTCTTGAGCTTGGATTTCTGCCTGAACCATGCCTCACCTGATCGTAGTGCTTGCATTCCCAAACTGTTGGAAATGTGTCGACCCCAGGCCTTGACCTTCTGTGCAGGTGTTGCCAATGATGTCGCGCACCTTTAATGAGCTTTCTGCCTGTTCAATGGCTGCATTGACTGCCCATTTATGGCCTGATATTGTTGTGATGCCTGCTTGCTTTACCCGGGCATCTTTAGAATCTCTCAGACTTAGCGCGACTCTGCATTTTCCACCTTGAACTCCTCCACAACAGATGACAAAGGGAGTTGCAGCAGTCCTGATCGAATGTAGAGGCCCACTGAAGAGAAGTTTGGGGGAATCCCCAACCACCTCTGCAGGTGCTTATTAATTTTTCTCTCAATGCCATCCACAACTGTTAGAGGGAACTCATAGACTGTGAGGAGCCAAATAAGCCTGGGCAGAAGGTCCTGATCGAATGTAGAGGCCCACTGAAGAGAAGTTTGGGGGAATCCCCAACCACCTCTGCAGGTGCTTATTCATTTTTCTCTCAATGCCATCCACAACTGTTAGAGGGAACTCATAGACTGTGAGGAGCCAAATAAGCCTGGGCAGAAGGCCATGCTGGTACAGCCAGGATTTAAATTTTCCAGAGAGTCCGGACCTGTCGATCTTCTTCAACCACTCTTCTGTTTGCCTCACAGCATCTGCAACATTGGCACCATCTTTCAGTGATGCATTGAACCACTTCCCCAAACACTGTATAGGGCTGTCCTCAATGAATGGAATGACCTCGCCTTGAACTTGGAGGCCAAACTTACTTGTGACTCTGCCCTTCCTGATGACCAGCCTTCTGGACTTCCTGGCCTTAAACTCTAATGGAGTTAAATTATGGAGTTAATTTAATACTTTTTTTTTTTGCTGTGCAATGAGTCTGAAGGCCTCGATTAGTTCAAGTCTGTTTAATTAAGGTTAAACTGTGCAGAACAGTGGCCCTTCAGGAGCAGGTTTGGGCACCCCCACCCTATAGGTAAAATGTTTAGAATCGGGGGAACTGAAAAAATTGTCTGGCACTGTATTACAGTAAAATTGTCACGGACAGAAGAGGAGAGACTCAGGTAAGTGCTACAGGGTTCTTTATTAAACAGGTTTTCAGTAGGAGTGAAGCGATGCAAGGCAGCAGGTAAGTATCTCATAATCTGAGTGGGTAACTTGGCTGGTAACAGAATTTAAACAATGTACCTTTTCCTTCCTAAGAGTGGCACATGGCAAAGACAGGAAGAAGGCTGGCAAAGACAGCAAACTTGCAAGGAGTCCGGAGACTAGCAATGCGTCCAGGTAAGTGATCTTGAAGTGAGATCAATGAGACTAGACAGTGCAAGGAGTGGATCGAGTATAAACACATTACCATGTTTATAGAACAAACTTGTTTGTGTTTATAGTGCATACTTCCGTTTTACCGGAACATTGTGTTCATAGTTTCTCTGCCTTCGTTTCAGATCTCATCCAACCACATTCCTAAACATAAACTTTCCTAAAAGTTCAGTGCTTGTTCTACTTTCTAAAAAGAAAAATGGCAGATTATTTCGATTATTTTAAGATTATTTTTCCACATTGTGCTTTTTTGTTGAAAAAGATTAATCGTTTTATAAATTATTTTTAATTAATCATAATTAATAATAGCATGATAAAATGAATATGTCACTCAGCTTCTGTATTTGGATATATAGCATTTTTAAATGTTCACTATGTGATTCCATGTATTGATATAGTTGATATTTTTTATGCACATGATGAATCGATCTAGTGGACATCAGTGAGTCTCTCTCATGTTTGCCGCAGTCTCAATCATCATTCAGTTATGATATTGTGCCGTAACATAATTTATATTATTGTGTGGTGTAGTTTGTGATGCTAGTACTATTAGAACCAAATAAAGTAGAATGCAGAGTTCATAATCAGTTTACTGTATTTTAAACCACTTTGTCATCTAAACAGTGTAGTCATTAAACAAAAAGTTACAGTAAGTCACACCCTGCAGAAAAACCTGTTTCTCAGGTATGTAATCAGAAAGATACATAAACCCTTTCCCTTAAAAGAAGGAACTCAACTGTTGAGCTCCAGTGCATATCATCTATCTGTCTGTGTTCATATACAGTGAAATGGCAGAAGCCAGTATCTCATGGGCTGAAGATCAGTTCTGCTGTCCAGTGTGTCTGGATCTCCTGAAGGATCCAGTGACGATTCCCTGTGGACACAGTTACTGTATGAGATGCATCACAGACTACTGGGACCAGGATTGGAAAGGAATCTACAGATGTCCTCAGTGCAGAAAAACCTTCACACCAAGACCTGTTTTGGGTAAGAATTTGGTGTTTGCTGAGATGGTGGAGAAACTCAAGACAATGAGACTCCAATCCACTCCTGTTCCTGCTACTCCTGCTGCTCCTGTAGTTCATCGCACTGGATCTGGAGATGTTCAGTGCGACTCCTGCACTGTAAATAAACAGAAAGCAGTGAAATCATGTCTGGAGTGTCGAAGCTCTTACTGTCAAAATCACCTTGAACAGCATGAAAATCTCTTCAGAGGTAATAAACACAATTTGATGGACGCCACTGGACGACTGCAGGACATGATGTGCCCTCGACATCATAAAATGCTGGAAATTTTCTGTCGTACTGACCAGCAGTGTATCTGTATGCTGTGTTTGGTGGACGAACACAAACATCATGACACTGTATCAACAGGAGTGGCAAGAGCAGAGAAACAGGTACTGCTC